CCACTGGATGGTTCGTCACTGGTCGGGAGATCAGAAGAACTAGTTTTGTCACGAACCATCCAGTGGTGCGTATAAAAATGTCCTCGCCAAACCGAGGTTCTGAAAAACGATCTAAATCACTCTTAATCTCCGTTGAACGTTTTTCTTTGACATTGAGATTTACACAGGAGTTGGAAAAACGGTTGGTGGTGGCTATGGCGTGGATTTTCGGTTCAATTTGGACGAAAAAGATGCATTTTTTGATGAAAAAGTGATCTGACGATTGGACTTTTTCGAGCCGGTGTGTCCTGCCTTTCAGTGATATAAGTAAAGGAGGGGAGATATCAAAGAAAAACGGCAAATTACGCCTTAATTCATAACTAAGACCACATCATAAGTTAAGACAAATGTTTTTTACTTATTTTTTCTTTCAAAAATTTAGTATTTACATGCATTATAGATATTGCTATAATCTGCTAGTTAAATGCTTAGCTTGGGCTGCCTGTGTAGACATGCCATAAAATTGTTTGAGGGGCTGCATTTCCCATCCAATAATTATTATCATACGTTATGGACTTGCATATGGTTTTGGTCCGCACATCAGCACATACTCTACWCGTTGTTACGCATATTTAATGAGCCCTCATTTTTCGAGATTTGACGCTAGATTTTTAATAGACTGATTMCATAAGTCGTAGCATTCGCTTCTCGATTTTTCGGTTTGTCGTTCAAACTAGCGACTTATGTACTTTATCACAAACGACTGTACAAACGAAAAAAAGGCCGTCGTGCATATTTTATTAGTTGGAAGTGGCTTCACACTAGTAGCCGTTGGAATATTTCTATAATAAATATCGACTGTATTACGACTATTAACGTTTTACCAAGAGTTTATAATGATTGTTAGGATGYATTTGTGTCAAGATGAAGTGCTGATTAATGAAATGATAAATGTGTTTGAGCTTTTAATACAAGGTGTGGAAAGAATTTAGTTGTGACAGTTATGCGGCAACTGTCCTGATATTCAAACAAATCGAAACCAAACTACAGATCAACTACATCTACTCCTTTCTAAATTAACACATTCGTAGTCCAATGTTTTCCAAAGTAAAGTTAAATTAGATAGAAATCAATAGCACTTGAAYTGTTTGATCTTGCAACATATAATTATTCGATTGATCATGATCATTTCGCGGCACTTGTTTACTTACATAATTTGGCAAGATATTCACAAGTTTCATCAGAGTTAAAACTATGAAAGTGTCAGTGGAATGGAATTGCATTCATTCTTCTTTCATCGAAGCGTYTTAAATTAAAAATCATGCCCTTCTMCAACAAGCATTGCCTCGCCTACTAYATACTTTTGTCCTCGGAGAGATTACTATAAGGTTATGTGTTGGAATTTAAGAAAAATATTGTCTCTCCGCATCCTGTAGGAAGACACACAAACATATTCTTT